ATTAGTGGGAGCGCTTGGCCAGGCTGGTAATTATGGCTGTTCATTAGTGATGAAGCAAGAGTAAGGCTCCCCCTCCCCTGAACCTGCCCCGTCGGGCAGGGACATGAGGGTAGAAAGGTCCCAGCTGGGTGGGGGATGCGACAGTGCACCCATCCCTGCCTGTCCGGGATGCTGAGAGCATCCAAAGCACCTTGGTTTTTGCATGGTCCTTTCCTTGAGTCTTGGTGTGACAGCAGGGAGGTGGATGGGTTTTTAGGGATTAGGGACACGATCCCTGGAACATGCCAACACCCCACGGGGTGGGATTCCCCGGGGAGTGCGTGGGGAGAGGAGATCAGCCAGGGAGCATTCCCCCTGCACCTCCCCACTTCACCTTCATCAGGTGTCTCCAGAGCCCCACTGAAAAAATTGAGTTAGAGACAAAAAAAAAGCAGAGCAAGCGGTGAGGGATGTTGGGGAGGGATTTTTCCCCCCCTTCTTGGCAGGACGGACTGTCCTGAACGCGCTGTGGTGGGTGCTCGGGGCTGAGAACGAGGTGCCAGCGGTTGGCCTGGGGCCAAGGGCTTCCCCACCGCTTCCCTGTCTTCTGCGCTTTAAAACAGCGAAGTATTAGATCCCAAAGGTATTTCTCTTCTTGCTCTCCATGGGTTGTTCCCGGCTTTCCAGGTGTCTCCTTTCTGCCTGGAGGGGGATGGAGCGGTGCCCACCAGCTCCCACCTGGGTTTTTGAGGGGACACAGTTGTCACCTGCCTGGTGTCATCCCACCTGGTGGCTCGAGCCCCAGCTCTGTTCCCTGCAGTGAACCAGGCCAGCTCATTGCTAAATAAATACTCAGGATTTCAGGTCATAACTTTCCCTTAGGCTGGCCTGAAGTGGCAAATCTGCAGAGGCAGGGAAAATGTTTTGGCTGTGTTTCTCCAGCAGCCTGCATGCCGCCGAAAATATTATTAAACAGCTTCACCCTGCAAGAATTTGCCAAGAAAACTAGGCAAGAGAAATGGAATATGTTAAGGGTGCCAGTAAATACGAGCAGGCTGTTCCTTGCCAGC